CATTATTACTCAGTAAAGTGTGTTTAATTTTATTCATCATAATTTCTCTCTGGTTTGAAAAAGCATCACATTTCAAGTTGAAATGTTCCATTGTTTCAATACCATTTTCAAAACAGGAGCATGTATAATCCTCTACACCTGTCCATTGTTTTAAACTTAAGCTGCGCCTCTCCAAAGTTGTTCGAGGAGTTCAGATAAATTTTGGGTTTCTTCTTCTTGGTTTTGAATACCATGTAGCAACCTATGATTAGATAACTAACACAGATTGAAAATTAATCGTATTTTGACTAACCCATTGTTTTTTCTTTGTTTCTTTTATAGCCTTTTCTTTCTCTACCGCCAAGTCTTTCTTGACATCAGCGATTGCGTTGTTCTTCTCTTGTAGCAAGCCCTCTCGTATCTCAGCAACTGTCAGTTCTGTAAACAATTAGTTTTTTTTTTACAAGATCATCAGCAAATTCTTAGAATATATTTTCCATGAAAACAAATTATAGAGAGGAATTTTTTAATGTGATTCATTATACAAAAGAAAATGTAGTCGTCAGATTTACATACATAATTTAGATGCCATATTTTACGAAATATTGAATAATTAGTTCAAAGATTTTCATATTTTTATCTATTTCTCCACACCAAATGGAACTAATTTCCACAAATCCTATTTTTATGATTTTGTCACACCATAACTCAAACACAAATACTGACAAAAGATATCCAAGACATTTTTTTCAGTTAATATCACTGAACAAACAACAATGGATGCTCATCAACAAACATTTTTTTGGTATGAAATTCGCCTGAAATGAAAACACAAAATGTCTACAGACTATTCTAGATCTAGACCCAAGCTCTATGCTTTGTTTCTGATATTTCTACCCAGTAATGACCTTAAGACAAAATGTAGACCTACCAGCTCTATGCTTTATTTCTGATATTTCTACCCAGTAAAGACCTTAAGACAAAATGTAGACCTACCAGCTATATGCTTTATTTCTGATATTTCTACCCAGTAATGACCTTAAGACAAAATGTAGACTTACCAGCTATATGCTTTATTTCTGATATTTCTACCCAGTAATGACCTTAAGACAAAACGTAGACCTACCAGCTATATGCTTTATTTCTGATATTTCTACCCAGTAATGACCTTAAGACAAAATGTAGACTTACCAGCTATATGCTTTATTTCTGATATTTCTACCCAGTAATGACCTTAAGACAAAACGTAGACTTACCAGCTATATGCTTTATTTCTGATATTTCTACCCAGTAAT